GGGCTGATTTCCTTAAGAATGGATAGGTTTGTTCTTGCAGTCCATGGGACTCTCAAGAGTCTCCTCCAGCACCATAATTCAAAAGCATCAGTTCTTCGGCGATCAGCCTTCTTTATGGTCCAGCTCTCACTTCCATACATCACTACTGGGAAAACCATAGCTTTAACTATACGGACCTTTGTTGGCAAGGTGATGTCTCTGCTTTTTAAGATGCTGTCTAGGTTTGTCATTGCTTTTCTCCCAAGAAGCAGGCGTCTTTTAATTTCGTGACTGCTGTCACCATCTGCAGTGAAGAGCCTCATTACTTTAGCAAAAACAACAATTTAGCAATCAGGTGGTGGCAGAGGTGTGAGAGGCTTCTCTGATCATCGGCAATGGGGATTCATCCAGACTCAGCTGAACATAGAAAAGAGGCTACGATGAGGAACACACCTGAGCAGGCTGGGGAGCCTCAAGCTTGTGGGCCAAACATGAACCATGAGGCATCTCCATCTGGTCCACTGCTTCCACTTCCTGGCCCTCTGCATGCAATTATACCTGGTGGAGGAGAGGGGAAGAATCATTAATACCCTGTCTTCCTCCTGTGTATTTCGTAGTGGTTTGATCTTCAGCTGCAGCCCTGGAAGCCAACTCCTAAGGGCTGTGGGGTCTTTGGGCCTCCAGTAAATTATTTGAGGTGGTTGGGAGCCCCCAAAGTTGTTGGCCATTGCCATTCAAATGGTGTGTGTGCACTGCGTCATGCAATCGATTATGTGGGGTGGGGCTTGCCTGCTCCCCCCCTCAATATTTTACTCAAGTTGGCACCCCCGGCTACAGCTGCAGATGTCTGCAGATGTAGCAGCTGCTATTAAAGCTATGGGAGGATGCGTCCATAGAACAGGTGGGGAGTCTGAAATGATCCTCACACCTGAGCAAAAAGTGTACTGATCCACTGTACAAGCCAGCTCAACCATTCAGAGAAGAAACGAAGCGAATCGACATGGACTTTTAAAAGGGTAAAAGAGTATTGGGAAATGATCCATAATGAATTGAAAAAAAAATGTTTAAAAGTACTTTCCCAAAAAAATCAGAGTCCTTTCTGTTGGGGATGATTCAGACTGTAATTCCCAGGTGTCAAAAAAAGGTTATTTATGTATGCTACTACTGCGGCCTGGGTTTTGTTAGCCCAAACATGGGAAAAGGAAAGAGGCCGCAACCAAAGAAGAATGGCAACTCAAGCTGACAGAATATGCGCAGCTTGCAGACTTAACAGATAGAATAAGAGAACAAGAAGAACATACGTTTAGAGAAGACTGGAAAACATTCGTCGAATATATGGGAAATAATTGTGTACAGCTGAAAATGCTGGCAGCATTAAGATAAATTCAACAGTGTAAATAAGTTTTGATGGATGCAATAGTAGAATGCTGAATGGTACAGTTTTTGTAAAAGATACAGTGATTTGTGATATGTAAAATGGACCATGGAAAGAGAGGAAGGGAAGCCACTGATATTTTAATGAGTATTTTAAACTGTAAAACACAAAATTTAATAAAAATTAGATACAAGAAGGAAGCAAATGAACAAAAAGCTTGGTGGAGAGAGATGGGGGCCTTTCACAGAAGGGCTGTGCCCTCGAAGAGGAGGAGCTGATCCTGCCCATCCCTGTTAAAATACAAATCCCATGGGTGGTGGAGTCAGAGCATGCCTGGCACTTGTTGCAGTGTGCTGACTTCACCTGAAGACAAGAGGAGCCGATTCTGAGCCAGGTGAGATGAAACATCTCTAGATTTATGCTGGAGGGAAAGGGATTCCCCCCCCCCTCAAGCTGGTTAGCTAATTTTGATACTAGTGAGAGGGACTAAAATCTGTTGCTTTGCACTAGTGTCATGCAGTGAAGTACTAAACAGACACACACACAGTCAAGTTCTTAGTTCTAATTTCTATGATGCTTATTTTGTTGAGAAGTATGTTTGGTCCGCATTTTAGAGTTAACGAGTCCTGGATTTATATGCAGATTGGAACACGGGTGTCAAGTGGATTAGAGCCATCCTTGAATTTTGTGGTGCAATTCCAGTTCAGATAGGCATCTCTCAAATGCGCTAAAAAGCATACAGAATGTATATTTGGTTATGGGAGAGGACGGATATAGAAATGTGTACTTTAGGGCAAAGTGCATACAATTTTGATGCGGAATTTTGATGCTTTTTTGTTACAACACTAAACAGGGAGGGATGGATCTCTAAGTGCACGTGAAACTGGAATGCAGTGGAAATAGGGTATTAGTTTGCTTTGCTATATATATAATGCTTTATAGTTAATTTAATTGAATGGTTGGTTGGTTATAGGAACATCAATCTGCATATCAATTAGCAGTAGCTCTGAAGGAAAGCATATTTTATTTCTAGATTATTCGTTTCACATATAGTAATAGTAATTGCTTTGAAGAGGCATATCCTATATTATGAATGACGCTTTTAAAAGGGCATATGCCACTTCCAACAGTTGTGCAAAGTTGAGTTAAAGCTAGCTTTATTTAAAAACAACAACAACAACCCTTTTGCTTAGTTAATTGAGGACACCTTTTAAATTCAACCCAGGCTGCTTTAATCTGTCAGTCTGATTATTTAATCTGGTAGATTTAGGCCACATGAGCACCATACATTAAAATCACTATTATACCACTTTAAACAGTCATGACCTCACCCAAAGAATCCCAGGAATTGTAAAGGGTGCTGAGAGCTTGCAGGCAACTCCCTTTCCCTGACAGAGCCACGATTCCCAGAATTCCATGGGAAGAGGTATTGACAGTTTAGCATTCTGAGTTTATAGCTCTGTGAAGGGTTATATTTTATTGCATCAAAATTGGAATTCCATATTTTTTGGAAAGATAAACATCAGTCACAACCACAAGCAGAACACATTGCAATTGCTAAACAGGCAGAGAAATCATTAGGTTCCACCAAGTGCCACCAAGATTCTACACCAGGCATCCCCAACCTTCAGCCCTCCAGATGTTTTGGACTATGATTCCCATCATCCCTGACCACTGGTCCTGTTAGCTAGGGATCACGGGAGTTGTAGGCCAAAGCATCTGGAGGACCGCATGTTGGGGATGCCTGTTCTACACCCTCCAACATTTCTCCAATGAAAATAGGGGCGTCCCATTCCATAATGATAATTTAACTATTAATAGTAATACACATCTTATTGGGTTGCCCCAGCACTCTGGGCAGCTTCCAACATATATAAAAACATAATAAAACATTTTTTAAAACCTCCCTATACAGGATTGCCTTCAGACAACTCGGGGGTTGGATAACTCCATACCCTCCAACATTTCTCCATTGCAAACAGGGGTATTCTATGGAAAAGCTGAATATTCTAGGATCAAATAAAAAACCAGGATGGCTTCTCTAAATCAGGGACATCCCTGGAAAATAGGGACACTTGGAGGGTCTGAGATTCTCAGTGATTTTCAGGTGGTTCAGGGAAAGTAAAACTTGGGGGCCAATACAGTAAACACCACCACTCCTGAGTAAGATATTCCTTGTGAGAGCAGGACAGGGAAGGAGGGAACAGTTTTTTACTTGCAAAGCACCCTGAGGACCTGCAGTATAGAAATGCTAAATGTCTGTCACAGTCTGCTGAGTCTGAGGAAATCTTCTGTTCACAACAGCGCAATCTGCTGTAGACCTTTTAAAATAAAATTCTAAACATAGTCTGCAACTGCATGCCCTCCAAGTGCCCTGATTTTCCAGGGACAGTCCTGGAATCACGAAAGCCACCCCTGCCGCTTGTTTCTTCCTGGAACGTCCCTATTTCCCCTGCCAGTGCAGTTTCCACCCCATCATTCAGCCCGGACACTGAGGTCCAACTCTAAGGGCCTTCTGGCAGTTCCCTCCCTGTGAGAAGCGAGGTTACAGGGAACCAGGCACAGGGCCTTCTTGGTAGTGGCGCCCACCCTGTGCAACGCCCTCCCATCAGATGTCAAGGAAATAAACAACCATCTGACTTTTAGAAGACATCTGAAGGCAGCCCTGTTTAGGGAAGTTTTAAATTACTGATGTTTTATTCTGTTTTTAATCTGTTGGGAGCCGCCCAGAGTAGCTGGATGGGCGGGGCATAAATAATTTATTATTATTATTATTATTATTATTATTATTATTATTATTATTATTAATTTATACATGCATACATACATACATACATACATACATAATACTGCTGCCAAGCTGAGCCAGTGCTTGTCCCGAGCAGTGGCTGTAGCAGCTGCAAGGAAAGTACACTGTTGCCTTTCCATGGCCGTGGCTGCTGGCCTCTTCCCCTTGGGCAGTTCCTAGCAGCTGCTGGAGAGCGGCCGAGAAGGATGAGAGGCTGCCACCACCAAGGCCCTGCCCCATGTGACCCACCAGTTCTGAGGGGTAGGCAGAGGACAGGGCCACAATGGGCAGGGAGAAAGAGGTATAGTGGTTAAGAGCGGTGGACTCGTAATCTGGTGAATCAGGTTCGCATCTCCGCTCCTCCACATGCAGCTGCTGAGGGACCTTGGGCTAGTCATACTTCTCTGAAGTATCTCAGCCTCACTCACCTCACAGAGTGTTTGTTGTGGGGGAGGAAGGGAAAGGAGAATGTTAGCTGCTTTGAGACACCTTAAGGTGAGTTAAAGACGGGATATCAAGTCCAAACTCTCCTCCTCCTCCTCCTCCTTTTTGTAAATCTACCAAAGAATAAAACAGGATAAAAAATGGGATTAAGGGATTTTTCTCAGGGCAGTGGAGGGCATGTGCTCTATGTCCTGTCCGGTGTGATGGAGATGGCACTTGCCTAGGGTTGCCATACGTCAGGAATTTCCCGGACATAACAACAACAGCAACAACAACAACAACAACAACAACAACAACAACAACATAGCTGGAATACTGCAGTATTCAGAAGCAGCGTCTGGGTGGGAAATGTCCGGAAAATCCTGTCGTATGGCAACCAATGTCGGACATCAGGATTTTGGCGATTTCCCATGTGAATAGCTCAAAAATGTAATTTATTTTTGAGATTTTGCCTAAAAAGTTCAGCAACTTTGCCAAAACAACAACAACAAAAAGCAGCTCTGGATTTTCACTTTTTGAAATATGTCAGCCCTACACTTGCCCCCTCTTCTGATAGAAAATGCTTGGGAGATGGACAACAAATGGAGGGTCTAGGAGGGTCATTTGAGGTTAGTGACAAATGTTCTTCTTTTCCATATAGAATAAGAGAACAAGAAGAGCATATGTTCAGAGAAGATTGGAAAATGTTTATTGAATATATGGGAAATAACTGTGTACAGCTGAAAACGCGGGCAGCATTTAGATAAATTCAGCAGTGTAAATAAGTTATGATGGATGTAATAATGGAATACTGAATGGTATATTCTCTGTAAAATATGCAGGGATTGATGATATGTAAAACGAACCATGGGAAGAGAAGAAGGGAAGTCACTGATATCTTAAGGATGTAAACATTAGTACTTTAAGTTGTAAAACAGAAAATTTAATAAAAATTAGAGAGATGTCCCTATTTTCATCTGGGGAAGGTTGGAGGGAATGCAACTGACAAAGAATAACATGAATATCTCCTTTCCGCAGGTTCATCATCCTTATTTCTCCCCTCTGTTACATAGCTGAGCATTCTCGCAATGAATGTCCTACAGTTTAGCACTGTGGCTTGTGCTTTCATCAGCCTCCTGTTCCTCCTCATTGCCCTGGGCTCAGATTACTGGTTGCAAAACAGTGTTTTCAACAATGGCCTGTGGGTAGGTTGTAATTCCAAAGATGGCTGTCATTCATTTGGGATGGATGTACCAGGTAAGAGCTTCTCTGTCTTCAGCTCTGAGTACTGTTGTTGAGTGTGAGTGTGAGAATTGAGTGTGCCTCCGGGAGTGAAGTCAAACCACTGCGTTGGCAGCACCGACGTGATCTCCCCAGGGTGCAAGCCTGAGCAGTGTTTATGGAGGTCCTGGGGTGCTCAGGTGAGAAGACTGTGCTCTTGGCTTTGCTGGTGTGGTCCAAAGGAAAGCAGAGTACCAGCTTAGCTGCAGAAGTTGCTGGAAGGAGACATAAAAGGTGTCATCCAACCGTTTTAGGGACTCCACTCTGGATTTGTGTAGGGTTTACTCCCTAGCCTTTTCTTCTCCTGTAGATATCCCACAAAGCAGCAGAGGTTTCCTTCCTTCTCCTAGATGTCCTACAGATCAGGAGTGCCAACTTGGCCCTGCAACTGAGGGTGCCTGGGGCTGAGGGTGCCATGCAGCATGCATGGCCCTGGAACCGAAATTTGTGGGTGCCCGGCCCCTTCATGGGGAATTTTGTGGGTGCTTGAGCACCCAGGGAGTTGCCACCTATGCTACAGATGTCTTCCCAGGTTGATGAGCCCCATCTGCCCCTCACTTCCATCTTCAGCATGTGCAGAAACCACCCTCTTGATCATTGGACCCACTATTGATCTCATCTGCACAATCCACCAGAGCCTCTCTTTACACACAGGGGAAGTCCCTAGCTCACCGAGGGTCTGAGACCCATTGGTTGCCTTCATGCCAGCCAGTCGAAGTCATTCCTGGGAAGTGGCCATTGCCACATGCTGACTAGGAGCCACAGGTGAGAGCTGATTGCAGGGTGGGTATACAGCCAAAATGGCGACGGAGGTAGCAGCCTAGCCAGAACCTCCTGCCCTCAATTAAGCTTTTAATTAGGTTTTAGCCATTTTCAGACCCTATGTTTATATTTTGAGTTGTCATTTTGTTTTCTTTGCTTTTAGCCTACTGGTTTATTGTTTTATTGTTTTATTACCTATTGTTTTATGGCTCAACTCAATTTAGCGTAACAAGGAACACTAAAGAAGATAGATTGCAGCCTTTGCGACTAACGCACAGTTTTCATCCATTGAACGTAAGACCTGGCCTTGACCTGATAGAATGCTTCTAATTATCTGGAATGCCTGCTAGAAGGAAAAAATGAGGCATTAAGAGCCAAAACAGCATAATTGGGACTCACAATTCCGCCAACGCAGAGAAGAGGCGGAAAGCAAACACCTTCATTCCTAGCTCAGAAACAGAGCAAACTGTCCTGGGGGAACCCTCCCCCAGTCTAAGAAGGAAGGAGATGATCCGACCCCCCCCCCTTTCAAGGAGGGAAGGAGATGATCTGACCCAGAAAACAGGAGTAAGAGGGATTCCCCCTATCCCAAATGCTGACCCACCCATGTCTTTAGAACAAGACAATAGAGGAACTTCAGAAGATTCCAGATTTATACCCTTACCAAGAGATTTGCATGATGTCGGCAGAAACTGTGGTCTTAGTTCTTCAAAGACTGAATGAAATTTTCACCAAAATAGCTAATATAGAGGAATACTTGGATAATTGTCCTCCCTCTATAAATGCCCAAAGGGCTAAAAGGAGGATTAGACACATCTATGCCAGTCAATACGAGTCACGGATGAAATAAGGCCTTGCCAAGTCCTCCAAGCGAACCAGATAATGCTTGAGATTCATCGAAATGAGTACAGGTGGATGAATCGTAGGTTAATTACGGCATCCTTATCTCAGCTTTTGAACTGCCATTACCAAAAAGTCGATCTGAAAAAATTACATTTCCTGCGCAGCATAAGAAACATCACACACCTGTTTCTGACTTTTAGAACTCCAGCTCTTCCATCTTGACTTATAGAGATGAAAAACATCTTATGGCGGTCTCACCCAGTAAGGGTTTTCAAGGATGAGACAGTGAGGCAGCTAGTCCCTGGCAGAGAGCCAAAGCAAACACCGATAAGGGAAGCTAAATTAAACAATAGAAACACTACCTGCAAGAAGGAGGAAGATAAACCCGTGAGTTCAGAATTAGAAGAACTGAAGCGGAGATTATTGAGTATAAAGACAGAGATCTCAATTCAAAACATAAGGACATTAGAGCCCGGAACACAATATCGAAATATGCCCAATAGCCTTACATCTCGAAGAAAGACACCTGTGCAATTTCCTGAACTTTTCCCAAGCGATAGCGATGGAGAAGATGAACCCGGTGACCCTGACACTCTCATGGCAACAACTTCTAAAGAACTTCATGCCATGGATAGATTCCTGAAACCAAGCACCCAGGCTATACCAGGGCCTTTGCCCAATACTCCTAAAACTTACAAGAACGACCGACTTTCCCTACTGCATCTTTGGCGAGATGACGGACGGAGTCTCTGAACATGAAGCTGGCTCTCTGCTCGCTAGTGACCCCCATTTTACAGCACATGCCTCTTTAATACTCCCAAAGGCACAGAAAGAATCAATAGCTACCTTATGAGGGAGAGAGGGATTGACAGTTAGCAGACCAGTGTGGGGCTCCCCTCGCTACCTGGGGTGTGGCTGGATAGGTTTTACCTACCGGGGATGTTTGTCCTCCTGATTTTTCATCTCAATATTATACCTTTTCAATTCGGGAGACTTGGCCCAGGGATGTTATGTTAGTGAGGGGATATCATTCCTTTATAGGGGAGGCTAGCATGGGGTCTGGGATTGCCACCGTCGAAGGACAAGGGAGGAACGGTGGTGGGGGTAGATATTATCGGCGAAGGGTTTTGAGATGCGTTGATGCTTAAACCCCTTCCAATCTACACCCCATCCCAAGGGACATGGGTAGGGTGAGCAGGGATTACCCACTTCCATCATTGGTGCTGTGCAATGCCAGGTCCATAGGCAATAAAACCACCACCTTGCGAGACTTCCTTATCTTGAAGAGGGTTGACCTGGTTTGTGTGACGGAGACCTGGGTGCGCGAAGGCGAAGTAGTCACCTTGCATGAGATGACACCTCCAGGTTTCTCCATCCTCCACCAATCACGGACTGTTTGTAGCATTGTTAATCTGGGAGGATTGCTCTTTCAGGGCTCTGCCATCACCATCAATCTCCGGCATTGAATGTGTTGGCCTAGTGTCGGGCACCAAGGAGAACTTGGCTGTATTATTATTATTATTATTATTATTATTATTATTATTATTTATTAAAAGCAGACAGACTATCCCAAAAAGAGCACAGTGTGTCTGCCACCGGGGGTTCTAGCCCTCCCACAACACCCAATGCATCCTGCTAGAAGTACTCAATGTATGGTATTCAAAACAGGAAGAAACTTTCATGGTTCTTCAACTGCCTGACAGCCCAGTGTGACTATAGTTAGACCTTTACTCTCTCTCTCTCTGTATGCTGGTACCAATATCTTGGTAAAGTTTATGTCGGTACCGCCATAAAATGGATGCTATGGGCAACAAAAAAAGAACTGTTGACAGTAGTCTGTACTGAATGAGTCCTATTGTTCAATCCCATTGATATATTTAACCGTCTTTCTTTCTTTCTCTTCCTTCCTTCCTGAAAGATTACTACCATGCTACCCGAGCCTTCATGTTCTTCGGGATGATTGCTGGAGCCGTCTCTTGCCTTACGCTTATTGGCAAATTTTTTGACTTTCAATGTGGCTCCCTCTCCAAGACCAAGACCGCAGCTGTAGCCAGCTTTGTTGCAGGTAACCTGGGCATCATAACCATCTGATTCCACAGTCAGTTCAAGCTCATCAAACCCCAGAACTCAGATGTATATACCTGACAAACTATTATTAGCGGAACTAAGTTATACTCAGAGTTGTTGCTGTTGTTGTTTAGTCGTTTAGTCGTGTCCGACTCTTCGTGACCCCGTGGACCAGAGCACACCAGGCACTTCTGTCTTCCACTGCCTCCCACAGTTTGGTCAAACTCATGCTGGTAGCTTCAAGAATACTGTCCAGCTATCTCGTCCTCTGTCGTCCCCTTCTCCTTGTGCCCTCCATCTTTCCCAACATCAGGGTCTTTTCCAGGGAGACTTCTCTTCTCATGAGGTGGCCAAAGTATTGGAGCCTCAGCTTCAGTATCTGTCCTTCCAGTGAGCACTCAGGGCTGATTTCCTTAAGAATTTGTAGGTTTGATCTTCTTGCAGTCCATGGGACTCTCAAGAGTCTCCTCCATGGACAAAGACAACAGGCATATGCTCAGAGTAGACCCACTCAAATTGATGGATCTGGTTAAAAGGTGCAATGCAACCCCAGCCCTTTCCATCCCTGGTTTCGGAGTTACAAAGGAGAAGTGGGAGTACAAAGGGCTTTCAAAGCCTCCCCAGAGCAACTGCTTTCCACTTGCTATGTTGGAGTTGGAAATCAGCCATGTGGGTTGGCTTCAAAAGGCACACTGCAAGGAGAAGTGGCTTCCATTGAACGAAAACCACATCCCCCTTCTTGAGTATAGCATGCTTCTAAGACTTTCCCCTTGTAACCTCATGCTGCCACAACCAAGCGGGATGAAGAATTTGCCTGGGAAGAGGAACAGCACGGGAAGGTGGCCACTAGGTGTGCTGACCAGCCTGGTTCTCTGGATCCTGGGAGAATAACCCACTGGGTTGGCAGGCAGAGGAGGGCAGCAGAGCAGGGCAGTGGCTGCCACCTGTTCCGGCTGTCCCTCTACATCAGTGTTTCCCAACCGGTGTTCCGCGGCACACTAGTGTGCCACGAGATGTTGCCTGGAGGGAGGCGGGCGAGTCCAAAAAAGGTTGCGAAACACTGGTTTCTCTTTCAAAAAGGAAACGTGGGTTAAAGCGGCGCCGCCGCCTCCCACTCACTTTCCTGCTCTGGCTTCCCTAACAGTTTTCCGAGTTGCGTCACTGGATCCAGCCCCCTTTTCCACATGTGACACGGGGCTGGAGGGAGGGAAAGAGGGCTTTACGTCGCTCACAAAGGCAGCCTCCTAGAAGCGCTCTGGGCCGGCGCCGTTTCGCCGAAGGCGCCAGAGGACCCCCACCCCCAGCTCCTTCAGAAAGGAAGCCCCGCCCCTCGGCTCCCTACGCCGCCAGGCAGCTCAGCTGACTGACGAGGACGTTCTGCGGTGGCGGCCGCCGCACAACCACCGCAGTTGCTGGCAGCGTCCGCAGCGCAATAAGTAACAGTGCCTGGTGCTGCCAACTCTTTCTCTCTCTCTCCCGCCCCGCCCCCAAGCTCTCGCGCGCCCCGCGTCAACATCGCCGCGCGCAGCTTCCCGAGCTCGAGGCCAGCCGCTGCACGCACGCGCCGGCTCGTCATCGGCTCCGGTTGTTGCCTTTCTCCGCCGAGGTCGGTGGACCCCGAGCCTAGGCTTCCTTCCCGCACCCCGCTTTCCGAAGACCGCACACCAGTTGGGCCAGTACATATTCCCCTCCCGTGACTGGAGCGGAATAGCCCTTTCTCTTCTTCCCCAACCCTTGTCGTTGGAGGAGTCCCTCAGTCCCTCGCTTTGCTGCCTCCTCCCCCCCCACCCCCAAAGCTTGGAGGTTCCCCGGCAAGGGGGAGGGAAAAAAATTGAAAGTTACACTTTCGTGCATCCCTCCCGGCGTGACGCTGCGCGCTGACGTCATGGGGCTGTAATGGTGGTGTGCCTCGAGATTTTTTTCATCAAACAAGTGTGCCTTTGCCCAAAAAAGGTTGGGAAACACTGCTCTACATCTCACCTGGGCCACCCACCCACCACTTCTCATCACACTGTACATTACATTGCCACCTGTCTGTGTTCAAGTGAACTGCAGAGTGATGGCACACTTATCTGTTTATTGCATGTTACACATATAAAGACAGTTAAACAACGGCATATGAAAACAATTTGAAAAATAAGAACCGTAAATATAAAAATCTGTTTAAAACAACAGCATCTGCATATCCATCCGTTCAGATCCAGTACAGATACCAGCTGAGATAAAGATTTTAGTAGGCTTGTTGAAAGAGGAACATCTTTACCAGGCACTAAAAAGACAAGAGAGAAGGTGCTTGAGGATATGTAGTGGGAGGGATTTCCAAGCATCACCACACCAAAGGCCCAATTTTGACATAATGTGGAACGAACCTCCTCATAGGCTGGGGCCTACAGGATGCCGTCTCCTGCAGAACACAGTGGTCAGCTTGCGATGTAGGGGGTGAGTTAATCCTTTAAACATGCTGGTTCCTAACTGCTTAGGACTTTGTACACCAATAACCGCACCCTGAACCTACCCTGGCAGTTAATTGGCAGCCAGTGCACATCTTTCAGCAGCAGCATAATTTGATGATGATGTTTGGCTTTGGTGAGCAACTGAGCCTCTTCATTTTGTACAAGCTGAATTTTCCTGGTCATCTTCCAGGATTTGATTTATACATAATCTAATATCCTAATGCATTCCCCCCCCCTTAATAGCTCTTTGCGTCATGATTGCCATGGCCACCTTCACAGGGCAGACAGAAGGAAAAGGCTCTTACGGATGGTCTTTTGGCTTGGGCTGGGCCTCCTTTCCTCTCTTCCTTATGACTGGTGAGTATTTGTCGAATGGGAAATGCTGAAAATGTATGTCTTCCTTTCAAGGTTTACCTTCGCTCAGAGTTCCCAGCTGCATTCTTTCATTACAGAACAATCTGGGGCTGATCTACACGTTTAGCATCATCATGTAGTTGTGCCCCTGGCAGCGTGCCACATTGGTTGTGGGTAGAGGTTCACATATTGGACAGTTTCCGGGTGTGACATGCCATACACTTGATTCCACTCTCAGCAAAAGAGGAAGAGGGCGGAATGTGAACCTATCCCCTGGGTGTGCTGCTTTTCTGAAAGCATGGATTACTTCTGTATGTTTTGCATTGAAAACCATTCAGAAATGTCATTCTCCCTTCTTACCATCACTCTGAAGGAATCAGGTTCCCCCAGATTCAGCTCGAAGGGCAGGAAAAACATCTGAATCAAGTTTGACCTGAGTATGTAGACAGGACTTCCAGACTACAGAAGTGCATTTGTGCCAAACTTCAGCAATTTGGAATTCATTGGCCTTATTCCTTACAAACTCCTCCAGAGACATTACCTGTATATTCATTATTCCAGAATGAATAGATACCGAGTACTTTCCCCACCCTCTATGAAGTACACAGACAATCTAGATCTATTTTTTTGATCCGGTAAACCGTTCCTTGATAAACTGTTTTCGTTCCAAAAATAGCAGCTCATTGCATATTGATTTTGCCTTACCCCACAGTGCATCCCTTTGAAAACTTATAAAAACAGATGTAGGTGGGATGGGGAGAAGCATCTACTTCTGCCCAATGACTTATAAGTGAACCAAGGAGAATATCTGCATAAGGCAGCTTCTTATGATCAAAGTCAACACTGTCTGTTTCCAGGATCATGTGTGTTCAGGGTGGACGTCTTTACTAATGGCTTTGCCATCCTTTCCTTCCATAGTGTGGGAGAGCAGAAACTGAATTCGGATCCTCAAGTGGACTTCTGGCTGATATGTCACATGAAATCGTAGAATCTTAGAGTTGGAAAAAAACCCCCAGGGTCATCTAGTCCAGCCCCCTGCTATGCAGGAAACTCAGCTAGAGTATCCATGACAGAAGGCCACCCAACCTCTGTTTAAAAACCTCCAAGGAAGGAGAGTCCACCACCTCTTGTGGGAGTCTGTTCCACTGCCAAACAGCTCTTACTGTTAAAAGTTTTTCTGAATGTTTAGTTGGAATCTCCTTACTCGAAGCCACTGGTTTGAGTCATACCCTCCAGTGCAGGAGAAATCAAGCATGTTCCCTCCTCCACGTGACAGCCCTTAAGATATTTGAGGATGGCTATCATATCTCCTCTTAGTCTCCCCTTTAACAGGCTAAATATACTCAGCTCCTCATAAGGCTTAATTTCCAGATCCTTGATCATCTTGGTTGCCCTCCTCTGCACACATTCCAGCTTGTCAACATCCTTCTTAAATTGTGGTGCCCAGAATTGGACACAGTGTTCCAAGTGTGGTCTGACCAAGGCACAATAGAGTGGTACTATTACTTCCCTTGACCAGGACACTATACTTCTGTTGATGCAGCCCTAGAATAGCGTAAGCTTTTTTTGCTGCTGCATCACATTATTGACTCCTTTAAGTTTGTCATCTACTAGGACCCCTAGACCCCTTTCACATGTACTGCTAGTAAGCAAGGTGTCCCCCATCCTATATTTGTGTGTCTGGTTCTTCCTGCCTAAGCACAGAATCTTACACTTGTCCTTATTGAAATTCATTTTGTTAGCTTGCTCCCAGTTCTCCAATCTGCTAAGGTCATTTTGAATTCTGATTATGTCCTCTGCAGCATTAGCTACCCCTCCCAGTTTGGTGTCAATGGCTCGGGGAGGGACGTCTTGGCTTCAGCATATGCATTTTATGATCAAATTCATATAGAAATGTATACATTGAACTAATACATGTTGTGAATACATTTTTAATACGTTTTTGCATAATTTAAATATACAATTTACATACTAATGTGAGAATGGGGTGTAACAGGCCAGAACTAGGCTGATCCACCTATCCCCAGACACCTCCATTTCTGCCTAGGACTTGTCCCTTGCAAAAGTCTCAAAATGTGCAAAGAATGTAGTTCTGTGGAAGAAAATAGCGTATTGGCCCGAATATAAGCCACACCAACAAATAAGCTGCACCTTTAAAATACAAAGGGGGGTGGGGGGTGGGCAGAGAAACAAAGACAATACCCAAATATAAGCCGCTCCCTTAAAATTCCGCAGGCATTCACACCCGTAAATGGCAAATGTAGAAGAAAATCCTACGGATACTAGAGAGGACCTGCAAGTGGGTTAAACACCGTAGCAGCGTAAATGCAAATTTTAAAAAAATCAATACTGCACTGTAAGATATGGGGAAAGTGATAAATGACCTTAGAATTAATTGTACAACAGTTTCAAATTGGCAATAAAACATTTTTTTTGTTCCATTTTACCATATGTCTGTTTCAGCAGCGATTTCGTGAAAGCCAGTTTTTGTAAGGTCCCGAATTTAAGCCTCATTTTAACTTTTCCAGTTGGAATTTGGGAAAAAAGGGCAGCTTATATTCGGGCCAATACGGTATATGTCCGTCCATTAGAATGGCAGGGGTTTGGGGATCAGAGCATGTTCCCATCTTTGAGCAAGAGAAGTAATCTTGGGGTCAATGATCAGGATAACTTGGGTGATGTTTTATTCTGCTCTGCCAATTGCCCGATTCAGCTCCTTCTCTCTCCTGACAGGTGCGCTGGCTTTCCTCTTAGATGGGTCAGCATGAACATGAGGGAAAGGCTCTGCTACCATTTCAGATGACACCTGGTGCTTTGTTGATCACGTGGGATGCAAACACAGCCTGCACCAAGACAAGCTGGACCTGGAGGAAATAACTATACTTTCATGACGAAACTGATGCATTATATAATAGCAACAGGGTTAAGAAACAGCAACGTTGTCCCTTCACCACAGATTGGAATCTATTAACTCAGTACTGTGGAACAGAGCTACCAACAGAAGACACAACTCCCAGCATCCCATACCACCGGCCTTTCTGACTTAGAAGAGCAAAAGACAGGCTAACTTTGGTTTAGAAGGAAATCATTCCTTCCCCAAATGGTGACATTCGTTTTTTTAAAAAGAGATTGAAGAGTATATACAGGATATTGTTTGCTTAGCATATGCAACTATTATTAATGAAGAATAGTGATGAATAGTAGTCAATGGCTGGGTTAAAGATAAGGAATGAATAGACCAGACAACTTCTATGCATCCAGAAGAAAGGAATAGCCTATGGCTATGCAGTAAATCATATGCTTTGCGGTATTGCCTTCACATTTTGTATGAGCACATGACCTTTGTGATTCACCTGTTTTTCTCCTATATCTTGTGGTTTTAATGATGAATAATATATTTAAAATGGACCCAAAGATTCCCATGCCTAAAAGGCAGCCTGCATATGACGACAGAAACACGGCTTTCGATTCAGAATCAGGTCAGGTTCTAGCCCTGCAAAGTCATTAGAAGCAATAGAACCTCCCTCTTCTCCATCTCTTGATAGGCCTTCCTCTGTCTGTCTCTCAAACATGCAAGTTCTCTGAGAAAAATGGTTCTTCTTGCCAAGCTCCTTCGGGGCATTTTAATTAGACCTGAATGTGACTTTTTCTTTAACAGAATGTTCCCCTAGTCAACCTACTTGTTGAGCCTTCATCCAGATGTGTTTGCAAAAAATGGGTTAGGCAAAAGTTAGACTGTGTCTGGTCTTTATTGAGCCTCCATTCTGATTTGCTTGTGGGACAGTCATGCAACAATCAGCATTCATCCTGCCTTCATCACTGTTGGATGTTTATATGTCTTCCCGTTAATCACTTCTCCACACAACACAAACACACCACTTGTCAGTACATTCCCCCCTCGTCAACCTAAGGGTTGTAGCCAACAAATTTCTAATCAGAGTAGACCCATGACCTAGGTTGGTCACAGCCATTAATTTCAGTGGATCTACACTAAAGGAGTAGCATCGACTAGAACTCTCTGTTTCTGTCAAGTGGTTACATAACTTTCATATTACAATATTTATCCAAATAGTCTTTAAATTTCTTCCAGTCTTCTTGATGTTCCTCTTCTTTCTGGTCGCGGATTCTCCCGGTGAAAGAAACAATTAGGCCTAGGATTAAAATGGAATTAAATTTATAAATAAGAAAATGTACGATAAGGAAAGCTATGTAACATGAATAGGACTGTGATATGGTCTTTTGAAACACTGATGTTGGAAACTGCTACATATAATTACTAAGAAATTCGGATGGAAGAGATTCGAGGAAGTCAAATACTAAGTTTATGAAGATGGATGGTACTTAATTTTAATTAATTAAGTGGTAATATGTTGTATGTATCTTTTATCTTTTTTCTCTTTTTCTTTTCTTTTTTGTTTGTTTTTATTATTGTTAATCTTTCATTTCTTTACTATGTTTATCTACTGAAAATAATAAATATTATTTGGAAAAAACCAAAAGAACTCTCTGTTTCTGTTTTTAAAGTGATTTTGTAGTGTCAGGGCTACCAAGCCCTTTCATCCACTTCATTTGCACAAACTTGAATTCACAGCCTGTACTTGACTCCTTCCCACGAAACAGGGACAATCTGGAGGCATCCCAACTGAGTACTGTTAAATTTACCTCCAGTGAAACTATTCGGAAAAAGAAATATGCGACCTGAACCATTGACATACCAATCTTACAAAAAGAGATTCTAAAATAAAATGAAATGAAATGCTTTATTTTTCTCTCAGTGACTGCTGTGTGCAAAATCTCCCCCTCCCCTTCAATAAAATGAACATCCATTTAGGGACTCCTCAAAACTGAGTGAAAGGGTGATAAAATGGCAAATGCCATTCAATATATACTTATGTAAAGCGATGCATGTCGGGGGAAGAAAACCTTAATTTCACACATATGCTCATGAGGTTCACTGAAGTGGCAGGGATGCACCGGGAATGAGACCTTGGGTTGGTAGTGGCTAGCTCAATGAAGATGTCAGCCTAGCATGCGGCAGCTGTGAAAAATGCAAATTCTATGCTAGGGACCATTATGAAAAGAATTGAAAATAAAACTGCAGGTATTATAGTGCCGTTATACAAATCTATGATGCAGGCTGATGCTGTTTAAAGAGGCAGATCAGGCACTCAGTGTAGAAAATGCAGAGCAACGTGGACCTATGGTCTGATTTGGTTTAAGGCAACTTCCTATATCCTATGACAGGAGCTGAACATCATCGAGAGAAACAATTCCTGAAAGAGAGAACAGCAGGTTCTTTTACAGGCAGGGCCAGATTTAGGTTTGATGAGGCCCTTAGCAGCTGAAGGCTATGTCAACAACACATTGTCACTGTTTTTTGTTATGAATATATGCTATATGGTAATTTATGGACCTAACAGGTATCTAAAGCCATTTGCACATAACAGTCCATGCAGAATGTAGGCACCCTGTATATAGAAATGAGAAAACCAGTGATATTTTAGGGAGCAGGCTAGCAGGCGGGGGCCATTACTTACCTCATAGGAGCCTACACAACACAAAACACTGTTGCTGTATGTAGGTTTTATTTGTTTTTTATCATATATTTTGGAAATGTACATCCAGGTTTTTTTCCTTTAAATTTTTTTGGGGGACTCCAAGAGTGTGGAACCTTAAGCTATAGCTTGTTCAGCTTATACGTAAATCTGGCACTGTTTACAGGGTTTAAAAAATTATATTCCTCTCCTATTATCCTGCCTTTCTGTTTTGATTCCATATGCCAGCAGAGGGGGACACGATCAGGTTAGGTTGCAATTCCTAGGCAAACCAAAGTTGGGTGTAGGATAGTTGCAGCTGAAGACAATGCAGATGTCCAATGAGAGAAGGAGGGAAGGGAGGGACGAGAGCAGTTGGGTGCAAGTCCCCATAATCAGGAATGTGTGTCCTCCACCCCCCACCCAGCCAAAATGTCCATCAATCTGAAAGATCTAAAAATACTTGTGAATGAAATGGGAGCAAAGGCTCAGGACCCCTATAAAAGTGCCTCTCACTCCCTGTTTTGTTTCATTAGAGTGCAGATTTGTAAAACGGTGTGTCTCCATAACACATGGGAAGCACAGCTTCTATAAGCGGCACATTCATTGTAGTGGGCCCAAGGAAGTGAAGCTCTCCCCCCAACCAAGATTACATATGCAGGCACTTCCTTGAACTTCAGGTGCATGACTAAAACTTTATTGTTTTGTTAGGCATTTTAAGATAGTGGCTGGTTTTATGATACATCTTTTATTGTTTGATATACCTGTATCCCGTAAGTTGTTGAAAAGGTAGATGATTAAGCGGTGTAGAAATGTCTTAAATAAGAAATAAAATTATTATGTAAATCAGTTTCGTACAGGTTCATACGGCAATAAACATGGTATAACATTTATCCCAGGAGATCCCTCTGTAATGTTCTGAGTGTTGAGAGTGGGCTGTAGTTACGTCCTTTCTGGTATGAATATGAAATAAATTTTAATTTAATTTAATTTAATTTAATTTTTAATTATTTTTTCTACCCCGCCCATCTGGCTGGGTTTCTTTTCCAGTGTTCATGGAATGAGTCACTAGCATATATATTTTTTCATTCTTTCTACCTTCTTTTGTCAGTTTTTTTCCATTACAGCTATGGACCAAGCCTCAATGACTCACTCATTTGTCATGTTCAAGTGTGCTGTTTTCCATTTCTTAAAAGGATACAGTTAGCAGAGCCTAATTATTCTGACAAACAGTAACAACAATATTTAGCAATGGGTGGTGGCAGAGGTTGGGGTGGCTTACTTGTTCCTCAGCAATGGGGAATAATCTCATGATTGGAAAACCCTTGTGGACTTTTTGCACAAAAAGGAAAATGAACTTGTGATATCTGGGTTTGACGACTAAAAAGTACGGAAAGTAGAAGAGTTGAGCGTTATTGTGGAGCAAGGGTTTTGCGTAAGCCTGTAAAGCTGATAGACTGAGCACCAAAAGTCTTCCCACCCCCTTTCTTTTCTTGTTTCTTCTTTCTTTTCTTTCTTTTCATTCTTATGTTTAAAAAAGATGCTTCATATTTGATGGAAACTGTTGTATATTGCTTTTTCTATTCCCCCCCGCAAGCTTTAATGAAAACCTTTTTTAAAAGAAAGAAAATCCAATGGGGCTTAATCTTGACTCAGCTGAACAGTTGGTAGAGCATGAGAATCTTAATCTCAAGGTCTTGGGTTCAAGCCCCATTTGGGCCAAAGATTGCAGGGGTTGGACTAGATGACCCTTGCGGCTAGATGACCCTACAATTCTATGATTCTAAAATAAAGAAGCTACAATGAGGAAAGCATCTGAGCAGGTTTGGGAACCTCAAGCAGATGGGCCAGACATCTGGTCCACTGCCTCCACTCCTTACCCTTCTCCTAGCAGTTAGGTCTAATCATAGTAGTGCCAGCTGGCCAGGGGGAGATAATAATTAATGCCCTGGCTTCCTCCTGTGTCTTTAGCTGTGGTTTGATTTGCAGAAACCAGCAAGTGTAGATTTCGCTCTGGACATGTCTGCAGATGTAGATGCCACTCATAATGAGATTCATCTGCTATAACAGCAGAGCCAAGATTTGGGTGGATGCAAGGGATTTTATCCTCAAAATGCTTCGCAAACAAGTCACAAAGAGCTACCTTTGGTTCTATCACCTCCTTTGGGCCAGGATGTAAAAGGCCCCGTACACCCCAGAAAAGCTCTGCCTGACGACATAATGAGGATGCAATGGAGGCAGCAAAGTATGCCTTCTTTGCTGCCTTCACTGCCTCTAGGTAGGCTCAATAATGAGCCCTTCCCAGTGTTTGGTTGCATTCATATGGATCTTTCCTCCACTTGCGTTCAAGCCATTTCCCAGCTTGTTTCCTCGTCCTAAGCTCTGGAGTATACCAGGGGGACAAACGGGCTTCACAAAGTGGGAGAGGGCGCTCAGAGCGATCGTGTCAATAGCCCAAGCCATTCAGGTGTTCCAGAGGTCAGCCAGAGCTTCGACAGGGGCGCCAGTCATATCAGCCAGAAAACCTCCCAGAACCATTTGGAATCCCACTGGATCCATCAGCCTCTGGGGGCGGACCTTCCGAATAGGTTCCCCCGCCTCTGCAGAGGGGAAAAGGGCACTCCCATGGGTGGTGGAATCAAAGCATGCCTGGCCCTTGTTCCAGAGTGAAGACTTCACCTGAAGAAAAGAGGAAGGCATTCTGAGCCAGGTGGGATTAAACATCTCTATATTTAAGCAGGAGGGAAAGCGAAATTTTTCAGTAGCTGAAGGTTGGTGAATTTTGATTCAGGGAACAAATGAGAGGGACTAAAAGCAATTTATTTTATTTTTCCACTGGACTACATATAAACTTTTTTTTTCTAATTTTGACGATGCCAACTTTGCTGATACACTTGTCCGATCCACTTTTTAAAGTGAAGCAGTCCTGGATTTGTATGCGGATTGGAGCACAGCTATCCATTGGATTAGACATGTCTTTGAATTTTGTGGCTCGGTTCCAGTACAAAAATGTGCATTTTATCGCAGACATGCATTTCTGAGCATACAGAATGTATATTTGGTTGGGTGGGATGGATGAGTACAAAATGTGTACTTTAGGGGAAAGGGCATACAACTTAGATGTGAAATGTTGCTGCTTTTTGTTATCTACAGAAAATGGGACAGAATGGATCTCTTAAGTGCCCATGAAGCTGCCATCCACTGGAAATAGGCAAAGCCACCAGTCCCAGATAGATAGGTTGATAGAGAGCTTAAATACCAAGGGGTTCAATCCAGCAGAACTGAGGGTTTATGCCCCCTCCTCTTGTCCTCCTGCTTTCCCCTGGGAAAAACAACTCTTTAGCCTTCAATCAGAGCAAACAGCAATTTGGGTTTTCTATGGATTGCCGTTTTGCCGTTTGCTCAGATTTAAAGCAAAAGAGCAAGTTTTCCCTGGAAAAGGAGCACAGAAAGGGGGAAAGGGTCAGACCTGTGGCTTCTATGAATGGGATAAGAAAAAGTGTTGGTGACTTCATAGAAATTGCCATGTGGGTCAGACCTAAGGCATATTTCGCTCAGTAAGATGCCGTCATGGGCAGAGGATATAAAGCTTTTAGAGAGGAACCAGACACAAGTCTATGAAGGTTGTGCCTACTACTCATGAATGCTGCCTCTGTGTTCAGAAATCAACAGATGAAGCATCAGCATTGAGGAAACAATTGCACACTAATGACTGGAGACAAAGACAAAGTTTCAGAACACAGGAGGAGGCGGCCATATAAACTAGAGCCTGCCACTAATCTGTGCAGGCAAAAAGAGGGGACTG